ATGCAAGATCTATCGAGTGATCACTTGAAAAAAATCAGGTTGGGCTGTCAAGAAATATGTAAAAAAAAATTTTCTTTTTGAGCTTGATTAATAAAATAGATTTAAACTCCTATATATATCTCAATTTAGTAGGAGAGGGGAGTGCTATTATCCTTTCAAAACAGATTTGCAAAGGGCAGTGTGTTCTGGAGTATCACAAGGAACCGTGCCGTGTGGAAGGACGGACATCCTCGAAAAAGGAAACGGTGTGTATTTCCATTTTCAGCCACAGGTATTTCCCTTCTTTGCTTTTATCAGAATTGCTCCTTATTTTTTTCTTTCAATAAAAAGGCACTGAATTATTTCCAGCCCATGTTCAAAGCTGTATTATTATTTGCTTCCTTTTGTAGTTAGGACAGTCTAGAAATATCCAACTCATTGCTACTTCTGGAAGATTTAACAGAGGTGGTTATCAATAGACCATTTCTCTCACATAAAAGATAAAGCACATTTATTTTTAGTGCATTTATCAGATGGGTAGTTAGGCTTAAGATTAAGCCCTATACACATCTGCTTTTTAAAAATAACTATTCTAGGGGCGCCTGGGTGGCGCAGTCGGTTAAGCGTCCGACTTCAGCCAGGTCACGATCTCGCGGTCCGTGAGTTCGAGCCCCGCGTCAGGCTCTGGGCTGATGGCTCGGAGCCTGGAGCCTGTTTCCGATTCTGTGTCTCCCTCTCTCTCTGCCCCTCCCCCATTCATGCTCTGTGTCTCTCTCTGTCCCAAAAATAAATAAACGTTGAAAAAAAAAATTTTTTAAATAACTATTCTAAATAGGAAAGTCAAAGAATCGAGTCTCAGTCTGCAATTCTTACATAACAAGTATTCTACCTGTACTTTATTACCTAACGTCTAGATTTCGTCAAGAAGCAACAATCAATAATGGCATAATGCTCTACAGTTAAAAATGTTTCCACACACCACCTTATAATTGAAAAAGCTATAAAACATTGTCCAGTGGATATGACTACATGGATGAGACAGTAGTTTGGCTGAGGTACTGGGTCTAATTATCTCTACTTAACAGATATGTAACCAGAGGCTTGACTACCTCAAGAGAAAACATTTGTGAGGAGGCACAGAGGGGCCTCAAGAGGCCACTATGTAATTTTCTATGAGTTATAAAGGATTCTCGTACAAATACATAGTGAGCCTGTGGCAAAGATTTACTTAACTCATGAATGAGGGGACCAGCAGAAGGACAAAGTTGGTTCAGAGAAAGACATGAGGAACTAACACACAAACACACACACACACACACACACACACAGTGGAAAAAAGAATGCTGTAGGAAGACTGCAGAGATAAACATCAAACAGGATAATGCCCTACAAGGCAAGAACCCATAACTCTCAGAGTTACCTTTCCTACTGCAAAGAAAACCTCTGCAACTTAACAAGCTTTTCGAAGTTACTTAACATCTAACTTTAGAAGGACTGGGTCCAGGTCAATAGTAAGTACCAAGTCAAAGTTACCTCCCCTAGAGCATGGGTCAGCAAACTTTTTCTGTATAAGGCGAGACAGCAGATATGTTAGGCATTATGAGCCATTTGGTCTCCGTCACAACTACTCAACTCTGCTGTTGTCAAATGAAAGCAACCATAAGCAATAAGCTTGAGGTGGGCATGACTGCAATTCCAATCAGGCTTATTGACAGAAAACAGGTGGCGGGTTTGATCTCACCCATAGGACATAGTTTGCTAATGCCTCTATCTTAGAACATCAGGTGATCCTTGGGTGCCCAGGTAGACAGTCCTCTAAGTACCACCTCAAAGTGACCTGCTTTTTTTTTTTTTTTTTTTTTTTTTTTTTTTTGCTTTTATTTCCAAGTTTTAGATAATTTTTAAAACAGTACCCAGGTCTTCGAACATTAAGTCCCATGCTTTTCCCTCACTATCTTGCTATCTCTCTGAGGCTTACTCAGTCTTTGGAGTTCAGTTAAGAAACAAAAGACTCTACTAAAGAAAGGACATTAAAACAAAATTACTAATCCTTCTCAGTCTTTTGGTTTGCTTGGTTTCACTGCCCTGAGGAATTCTCCTTAGGACCAGTGGGAAGTCTAACGCTGATAAAAAATCACTGAAGCCTGCAGAAATACATGATGGCCGACACTTCCAAGATGGAGGAGCACCCATTTGGAGGCTTGGTCATGACAGTGTCACGTGACTCACGGGGCCAGAGACCATCTATCACGTTCAGGACCTCAGCACTATGTATTTGAAGAACAAAGACCGGCAGAGGGACGTAACTTCGGCTCATTCAAAAGCTGTTTCATTCAAGGTATGTTTAAAAAAGATGACAAGTTGAACACGGTCCTCTTTAATAGAGTGGAAATTATCTGACATCTTAGGAAAATAGTCCTGTGTGTCCTGATTTCTGTTAAGTTGGAGTTAGGAGGTAGGCTCAATACATGGGCTTATCCTGGGCTCATGCAGTCTCATCTGTAACAGACCACCACAGAGCAAGATGCTAGAAGCATATTTCTTATACAACCAGGTTTTGATTAACTCAGGTTTTATTGTATACTTATTGTGGGTAAATACCATGATAGACACTGCACTTATAAAGTTGAACACAACCCAGTCCTGATTCTTAAAAAGCATAGTCTGTTAGGGAAGAAATGTAGTCAGTGCTCCATGTGATAAGCACTATATAAATGCTATAAAGGGCGGTCCAGGGCAAAGTACTTGGGCAGATGAGGGAGGGATGGAGACTACTGGGTAAATCAAGCTGAGCAGTCACGGTTTTGGTAACGGCTAGCAGACGAAGGGGACCAGAAAGTCACAGAGGCTGTGCTTAATTTTATAACATCAAATCAAGTCTAAAAATTAAGGCAACTAATATATCCAGGTAGTAAGACAACAAGCAGATGGGAGTCATAAGGAAAGAGGAATAAAGGCATTGGTTAGAGAATGTATTACTGCCAGTTTCTGCAGAAGTAACACCTCTCACTACAGACATGTTTTCCGTCCGCTTCTCTCCTCGATGGCCTCTAGTAGATTTAAACTATCTTATAACTCCTTGTTTCTGTTCTGAAATAGGAACTTTGTGTCTGCAAGTGGTCATGTCTTCCCCTTGCCAGCTGGTTTTCTAATTGTTAAGTTTCTAGAAACTTATAAACAAAAGAAAATCTGATAAAAACAACTTGATATCATGTGATGTGTTGACACATAAAAGGAATCCTGTTGTTGCTTAACCAAGACCATCTTTCTATTCTTAAATATTTCTCTAACGGGAAACAAAGTATGTGTGTAATGTTTGAATACCTTTGAATAGTTTACACTTAGAATAAAGTTTCATATACTATTTTTGGAAATATACATACAACACATTATTTCTATTTTTTAATTTATAGGGTGATAAGTTATCCTATAAATAAGAAATCCATCTAATAAATTCTGATCCATAATATGGTTTAACACAAAATTTCAGGGAGTTTAAGGGCAGGAAAAGCATTTAACAGAGTTGTAAAAAAAAAAAAAAGAAGAAGAAGAAAAAATGGGAAAATAAATAATGAATCTAAGTTCCCCTTAGAAAACATTTTTTTCAAGCAAAACCTAATTGCTCTAATGCTGAATGACTATGATGGAAACCACATGGATCACCATGTGATACTTAAATATTATAAGGAAAATAAGAAAACTGTCCTTTAAGACAAAAATTAGACAATATTTTCACAATGAAAGTTAGGCAAAAGGTTCTCAAAATTCTTAGAATCGGTCACTTGAAAAACTAATTCAGCAGTTTTGAGTTACTTACATAATTATAGGTTGGTTTTATTTGTGAAAAGCAAATACAATATTAAGTATTAGCATGTAACCAACAATTACATAGACTATTATACCAAAGGAAGCTGCCTTTCTTGATGGAAAAATGCAGAAAAATGTAAACTAAAATTATACAACATTGAAAAAGAACCCACCATTATTCCCTCTGATTTTAACCGAATGTCAAGAAGAAAACTGTGGGAGTTATAGAATAAAACCAATGAACCATCATAAAAAAGAAGACACAAGAATCTTTCAAAATGCAATATAAGAACGAATCCAGCCCTTCTCAAAAAAGTTTAGAACACTGTTGGTTAAAGAGACAATTTTCATAGGCAATAATGTGCCTGCCAGTAAGCTAACCTGAAAATAATGGTTATTGTAGTGGCTTTAAGGCATGTCTGAAAATTCTCTGACACCCCTCCCTTCAAGTGATGGGCCTGACTTAGTGCCTCATTTCTAATGAAGAGAACAGGCAGAAATGATGCTGTGTGACTTCCATAACTGGGTCACTGAAAGGATACAGCATCTACCTGGCACAGGAGCTCACTCTTACAGCGCAGGCTTTCAGAAACCAGCACCGTGCTGTGAGGAAGTCCAGATACTTTTCAATGAATCAAAATTCTGAAATACTATTTAGAAGGCAATAACTAGTTATCTTTGAAATGAAGCAGTTTACGGAGTGCTTAGATTGGTCCACTTAATTACTGATATAAGCAAGATATTCATAACTTCTCTAGTTTCAATCTGAACACATATGTTGGGTAAGAAGATGTGGGTTCTAGTACATACCTTCTAATTTGGTCCATGGCCCTAGATAAGCCATCTAGGGGCTCTGTCTTTACCCACATCTAACAGGGAAAATATCTTTTTTTAACCTAACTTACAGGTAATTAAGGATAAAATTTATGTGAAAACATGTTGCTATAGTTGCTAAGCAAACCTAATGTAAAATATGTAAGGTTTTATAATATTAACTATTTTTCTAATATTTGATTTGCTTTTTATAATTTAACCAAAATAAGGATTGCATACCTTTAGAACTACAAAATGCAGTAGTTATGTAAGGTCAATTAAAGTAGTAAAGCTAATCATCATAATAAACCCCTTCACCCATGTTCTCATTTCATTACATTAAGAAATAATAACTATAAAAATAGGTAGAATTTTGTGAAAATATTCCAATTTATTCTAGCTTAGGAGTTCTTGCCCACATCAATGGATTGCCTGGCATCGGCCACCACGTCAGGTACTCGAACGGTCATATTGTCCATAGACTTTGTCAAACAGATTTGGCAGCCCAACCGAGATCTGTGTAAGAGAGGGAGAGATGTGGTTTAGGGTCAAGTATAGATTATTCACAAGACAGTGCAGCTGGTTGGATATTTTCTTACCCAAAGCAGTTAGAGATTCACTTACCTTTTAAATTCCCATTGCATCAAAAAGACATACCCAACCCTTTCAAAGCTAGAGGGTATAGAGGGTAGAACGTAGATATGAAAAATGAAAAGCAAGGTGTTGCCAAAGCACTTTAATCTTCAGTTTCTGTCATCTACTACAACCACTGGTTTATGCTGAGAGGGCTGGCAAGCAGTGAAATGATCAGAAGGCACAACATTGGAGGAAAGAATAGAAGTTTCAGCAACACCAAGAGAACGACTGATCAATCCCCCGACAGTTAAAACCATATAGACTATAAAAGAAAACTACACTTTTTTTTAATGTTTAGTTATGTTTGAGAGAGAAAGAGAGAGAGACAGAGCATGAGCGGGGGAGGGGCAGAGAGAGCCGGGGGACACAGAATCCAAAGGAGGCTCAAGGCTCTGAGCTGTCAGCACAGAGACTGATGCGGGGCTCGAACCCACAAACCGTTGCGATCATGACCTGAGCAGAAGTCAGACGCTTAAATGACTGAGCCACATAGGCACCCCAAAGCTATACTTTTTAAAACAAGAAATTTGAGATAATGTGTAGACTTAAGTCATCCATTATGAGATGCATATTTTTTTGCCACATTTTTGACATCCCTGAAATTGAGATGCATCTTACCATCATAGCCGTGCCAGGAGCTGTGTCACATCACAGCTATGAACTCAGCGACGATGTTTTATAGGTGTCTCTTCAACTGAGTTGTGGGAAAGATGGTAATACTACATGTGTGAATTTAATTACCACTCAAAATGAGTTCAAATAGATTATAAAAGTTAAGAATACAGAAACATACACAGCAGGACATAAATTTGATATTAGTAAAGCAAATATGTGTCATCAGAAGAAGAACGATAATTCCATTTTTTTAAATTTTTTTTTTTAACGTTTATTTATTTTTGAGACAGCGAGAGACAGAGCATGAACCGGTGAGGGTCAGAGAGAGGGAGACACAGAATATGACACAGGCTCCAGGCTCTGAGCTGTCAGCACAGAGCCCGACGTGGGGCTTGAACTCACGGACCGTGAGATCATGACCTGAGCCGAAGTCAGCCACTTAACCGACTGAGCCACCCAGGCGCCCCCGATAATTCCATTTTTTTTCAGGATTACTATCAATTTTATTTTATTTACATCTTACTTTTTTAACAGTGATGTACAAATCTATGCTTAGACAAATCTATGTCTAGCTCTTTTGAGATGCACAAAATGCTGAGTGATAACTGTGTACCGTATTTTAATCGGCAGTGCTTTTTGCTTTCTTAGAGGCACATAAAAATATTAGTCTTGCAGTCAGATTGTCTACAATTTGGTGGAATGTGGCATGCAGGTCTTTGTTTGGTTAACGCAGCCATCGAGCACTTACTGAGCATCTGAAGGCACAGCACTAAATGTCAGTGAGTAAGCACAGAATAGCAACTCACTTCAATCTGTGTTGGACACTTTTACGTCCTAGGTACCAGGGCCGCAGTACAGAGGCAGCAGTGGGGTTAGAACCAACCAATCAGTGGTCCAGGATCCAGCACTGAATGTGGCATGTTCACAGGCAACTTTCTTAACCTGCCAGACATTAATTTCCTAGCCTAACCCTAAAGATGAATAATAAATGAGCTCCTCACAGGGCTGCTGTGGAAATGATTTACCAATACCAGTATTGAGGAATGTACTCTCAATCAAATAGAAGAGAGGAGACACATTTGCAGATAATGAACATGGGAGATTGTGACCAATACCACAGAGAGAGAAAGCCAAAAATTCTGAGAAGGAAGCACTTACTTCTGGCCAGGGGAGATGGTGTTTAGAACAGGCTTTAAGGATGGGGAGGAAGTAACGTTTAATAAAAGATAAAGGAGGAAGGCATTTGAGGCAAAGGTAACCAGGATTCAAGGCACATCTGAGGTGATACGGGTTTTTAGCTTGGCTCGGCTGCCATGCAAGGAGGGAGATGGGTTGGAACGGCCACCAGGCCACAGACAGCTCTGAACACCAACAGAAGAGCTTAGGTTTTAACCAGTGAGCAATGAGGGACCACTGGGAAGTTTTTGAGTAAGGGAGTAAATATAACCACAGGAAATCTTGATTTCTCATAGAAAAAAAAATCCCCTTCTACCAATAATTCCTATTTGTTGACTGCAGACAGCCTTCATGGTACTCAATTATGCATTTAGCTCTGTCTGCAAGAGAGAAAATGTGGCAAGCCATCTTAGACCAATTCCTCAAGGCTGTGGAGAGTCCTACCTAGAGAGACTGCTGGTGATTTCCCGCTGTTCATATAAAGAGAAGATAATGCCAGTCTCCGGAGGCACTTTTAATTTAGTAAGAGAAACAGATATGGAAACAGCGGTCAGTGAAAAGGGGCAGAATACAAGAAGTGCCGTGGAAGTGCAGGAACAGGAAGTGTGTGTTATGGGAACCCAGAGAGGGTTGGCCCTGGAAGACCAGGCAGTGGGGGCCTGTGGCTGTTTTCTCACTCCCTCCTTCCTCTACCCCCTTGTTCTAAGTCTCCCCAGCCTAGAAAGTGTCTGGTACCTGCAGACAAGGACAGATAGCAAGGCAGCCTTGATTTCACTATTAGTTGCATAAAATTCTGACACTGTGCCAACCCTGAAGGTATTTTCTCCAGTCACCTTTGCCATTTTTACCTGACAGTGCAAATACACTGGGGTATTGTATTTACTTTCCTCCTAAGGTTTGGTTTTCAATTCAGAGAAGCAGCTTGAAACAGTGCAAGATCAAGGGCTTTGGGGCCCAACGTAACTGATTCAAATCAAGGCTGTGTTATTCTCTAGCTGCGGGGCCTTGAGAAAATCTCTGATAATTAATTAAACCTTGTTTTCCCCTATGAAATGGTGACGATACTGTCTAACCCTGAAGGTTAGAAATCGCCTCTGTAAAGTACCGAGGCATTATAGTTAAGTATCTGGCATATAAATTGGTATTTTTATCATTACAGTGCTAAAAGCTATTTAATGAATGCTTTCCCCCCAGACCCTGTTCTGAAACGTTCACAAACAACCCTACCAGGTAGGTACTAATATTATCCTCATCTCACAATTACAGAAACTGAGGCCTCTAGGCAAATTATCCCTGGAAATTGGTGGCAGCGAGCAATGACTATCATCAAATACAGATTCACAGATAATTCCTGAATTTCTCCTTCTATCGACCACTAATTCCACAAAGAGCTGGTGAGGCCCTATTGTGAATCGGACACTGGAGATACAGTGAAGAAACAGATACGGCACCAGCTCTCACACGAAAAGAGAGACAAGTAACCACTACGGTAAGGGCCAGATGAGCCCATGTGTCACCAGTGGGTCAATAATCGTGGGTAAGGACACCCTACAATAAACATTAAAACAGTGGTGTTTTAGCTTAAAAATTTAAGACATTTACAGAGCACTTAACTTTAAAATACATGTATGAACCAAAAGGCTGAACTTCCTCGTTCCTCTGTTTTGGAATCCTTCGTATATGGTACCCTAGAAACAGTTTCTGTCTATGGTACTAGGTTTGAACAAAATTATTTTCGTTCCAGATGTGTCCAAGTGTTTTATCACTGCTACCTGTGAGAAGCATCCTACTCTTTCCCCACAACAGTCATTGAGTGTACTCTATGTGTCACTCTTCGTGGGGGAGAAAAAAGGTGTTGACAGAGAATATGGCACCTGAAGGTGTGAAGGGGGACAGGACGATGGCAGCCACAGCCCGCTCTGCTGTGAAGTCTACAGAGATACTGCTTTCCCGGCTTCTCCTGCCAGGGTGTCCGTCTCACTGCCACCACGGGAGAAATGAACCACAAATGGAATAAGGTGATTCTTCACCTCTAAATAAATACTAACGAGCTAAGCAATTTTGTGAGTATTAAGTAAGATGATCTACGTTAAGGAATTAACACAATTATGGTTATATAATACACAAATCAAGCTATTATTATTACTATTACTTTTAATTTTTTAAACAACTGTTTTTCATTAGGGTCGCCAAGTTATGGTTAGACACCAAAGCCAACCTTAATTAAGCCAGCCCTCATTATGTTGTCCTTTGAAACAGTAACTCAACTAGCTACCTCCTCTAACTCCAACCAAAAGACGTGGTAATTTTTTTAAATAGATATTTTTTAAAAATATCACTTGGGGGCGCCTGGGTGGCGCAGTCGGTTAAGCGTCCGACTTCAGCCAGGTCACGATCTCGCGGTCTGGGAGTTCGAGCCCCGCGTCAGGCTCTGGGCTGATGGCTCGGAGCCTGGAGCCTGTTTCCGATTCTGTGTCTCCCTCTCTCTCTGCCCCTCCCCCGTTCATGCTCTGTCTCTCTCTGTCCCAAAAATAAATAAACGTTGAAAAAAAAATTTAAAAAAAAAAAAAAAATATCACTTGATATCATCTGTTACTATAAATCTGACTACCTTTGAGAGGAATTCCACCCGTTAATTAATTAACAAGAATAAGCTCTGAATAAATTACTACCAGGTACACTTAGAAACAGGACTATTCATTTTAATATAGTTGTTATTATACATTAAGTTTCTTTTAAAATTCTGTTCTTTGAAGTAGGTAAAACTTCCCATGAAAATTTCACCCAATTTTCAAATCTGTCCTTTAAGAACACTGTAAAAAGCATTAAATTGAATCCCAACTCATTAAATTGTGAAAAATATTAATCCCTGGGATAAAAAACAGACTAAAGTAGATTTATCAGAATCTAGAACTTGTATCTCCAATACCTTCAATTGTTTTTTTTTTTTATTTTTTTTATTTTAGCAAAATGGAAAGTTTCACAAGGGTGAAAACTGTAGAATAGTGAAAACAAAAAGAAATGTCACATATTTGATATTCAAAGTTCGTGTCTGTCATCTATCTATGCCAGGAGATCATGCTTACATGCATGAGGCTGGTCTTAGGGAGATAAGAACTACTAAAACCTTTATCTTCCCAGATTATTAGTACAGTTGAAGTCATCCTAAAATCTTACCTATCCGTTAGCCCATACGCCAGATCGAGCATGTCATTCTCCTCATCAGTGACAGCATCTAACTTCTCAAATATGTGGTCTTCAAAGATGAGGTGACATGTAGAGCAGGCCAAGGTTCCTTCACATGCACCTATAAAGGCAACAGACACTGAAGACACTCTCCCCTCCATTACACAGAATTCAAATCTAGTTTTAATTAAAGTTAATTATTTCTAAATTTTAGAATCAACATTAGTATACAGACTTTGTTTCTGAATAATAATGAGTATTAGGGACTACCCTCCCCAACCCCTCTACCTCCCAATCCCCCTTATCCCCCTCTCTCCTCCCCGCCAATATAAAATCACTTTCACATATTGTTTCAAAAAGGTTTTGGGTTACATGCCGTGAAGAGAAACACAAAAATACACGATTCTGATATCAAAGAGCTTACAAGTTAATAAACTCAGACATGCATGCATATACCAATATGCATTTTTAAACTTACATGGTAATAATTTTTATGATAGCTATATAAGTTATTTACCTTCATTCTAGAGAGCTGAACACAATTTATGAAGCCTTGTGGTATATAAGAAGATTTAGAAAGCAACCAAACATATGCCTATATCAAATTAAATACTCTTCTCTATCTCTCCCTGTAATTGAGAGACAATCAAACAAGTCATTTTAAGAGCCATTCGTTTTTAAATAATAAGATAAGAATATTTCTCTTGTTCCATTTCTTTTAATTTTTTTTGTTTTTTTAATGTTTATTTTTGAGAGGCAGAGACAGAGTGCATGTGGGGGAGGGGCAGAGACAGAGGGAGACACAGAATCTGAAGCAGGCTCCAGGCTCTGAGCTGTCAGCACAGAGCCCAACGCGGGGCTTGAACCCACGAGATCATGACCTGAGCCAAAGTCTGACGTCCAACCAACTGAGCCACCCAGGCACCCCTTTTTAAAATAATTTTTAAAGCCTTTACACAACTTTAAAGATTATAGAGTCCTAGGAGTAACTTACTTGGATTTAGATTTGGTTTTGGTCAATAAACAGTACATTAAATACAGAACTATTATCAATAACTAGTAACCTTCTTAATTTTCCTTGAATGAATTAATCATTTTAATAAGAGTTATTCCCTTATAAGTTAAACATTTGTTAATCACACTTTATTATCTAAAAAATTTAACAGAGGAATGAGAAACTTCCTTAAGTGTTCATTTTTACTAAATCTAATTCAAAGCAGTAACGGGATTAAGAGAAGAGAGGGCACAAATTATGGAAAGAGCCTAAATGTCCATCAGCTGATGAATGGATAAGTAAGTTGTGGTTTATATATACAATGGAATACTACTTGGCAATGAGAAAGAATGAAATCTGGCCATTTGCAGCAACATGGATGGAACTGGAAGGTATTATGCTAAATGAATTAAGTCAGGCAGAGAAAGACAGATACCATATGTTTTCCCTGTTATGTGGATCCTGAGAAACTTAACAGAAGACCATGGGGGAGGGGGAGGGGGAAGAGGGGGAAAAAAAAAAAGAGAGGGAGGGAGGCAAACCATAAGAGACTTAAAAAGTGAGAATAAACTGAGGGTTGATGGGAGGTGGGAGGGAGGGGAAAGTGGGTGATGGGCACTGAGGACGGCACCTGTTGGGATGAGCACTGGGTGTTGTATGGAAACCAAAGTGACAATAAATTTCATAGTAAAAAAAAAAAGAAGAGAGAGCATTCAGTGGAGCATAGGAGTTACAGGTGAGTTCTGGAGCCAGACTGTCAGGCTTCAATCCTACCTGCACTTTGTACTAATGGCATCACCTTGAGCTACTTTAACAGCCCCCATGCCTCAGTTCCCTCAGCAGTAACTATACCAACCTCACTCGGTAGTTGCAAGAATTACATGAGTGTTTACTTAACATGTGTATTGTAACCATGACTGGTAGGTAGTAAGCCCGATACAACTGCATTATTGTTGTTGTTATTATTATTCACATATTAACATTATTATGTATTAATAGTATCATTTGGAAGTTACAAAGAATCGTAAAGTAATTCCACTTTCTTTTTAAATACAACAGGAAATAAACCCAAGAAATTAAATCAATAGCCTAGAGGTCATATTGCTAGTTAAGAGAGAGTCAATGGCTTCAGCTGAGTTTCCCAATGTCGAAGATAACTAGTTCCTACCACTCCATAATTTAAGTCACCTTACCTAAATATTAAATATATATAAATATATATACAAATGTATATATATATAAATATACACACACACACACACACAAGTATATACACACAGCAATCAGTTATTTGAACAATAGCTTCCTATTCTATTTTTCTGTAAATTTGAAACATTTCACACAAAAAAGTAAATGGATATATTTTACTTAAAAGGGAGGGGGGCTTCATATATACATCTCAAGTTCAAAAAGTCCTGTGTTAAAAGGAAAATTGCTGTAATGGGACCCTGAAGACTTAAGCACACTGTCTCCTGTGTCCCAGGCAAGTCTCACAAGGGCCTCGGTTTTTTTCTCATCTGTACAATGATTGAGGTAGATGATCTCTAAGGGCCTTGTGCCTCCAATATTTTATGACTCCACAGAGAAGAATTACAATTCTTTTTTTTTTTTTTTCATGTTTTTTAAAGTTATTTTTGAAGGAGAGAGACAGAGCATGAGCGGGGGAGGAGCAGAGAGAGAGGGACACACAGAATCTGTAGCAGGCTCCAGGCTCTGAGCTGTCAGCACAGAGCCCGATGCAGGGCTTGAACCCACAAACTGTGAGATCATGGCCTGGGTCAAAGTCGGACGCTTAACCGACTGAGCCACCCAGGCGCCCCGAGAAGAATTATAATTCTTAATGGGCTTGTTCACTAGTATCCAATAAACATACACTAAATCTTGATCCCTATTTTCATCTCATCAATACCCCATCCAAACTCGAAACTAAAATGGCACATCCCTCCAGAGATACTGTAGGACAAAAATCGGGAAAGCCGGCCTCCTTGGGTCTTTAAAATGTACATCAAACAATCCTTACAAAGTATTTCAAACCACTCTCTTAATTTAAAGAGCTTATACTTGCCTTCAGAGTTTTGCTATTGAGAAAACCGAATCCTGAGAACTGTGGGCCGTGTGTGACAGAAGACGCAAGGAAGAGAACCCTCGCTTCCAGGCAGGATGGGGTGTGCGGGGGCTGCGCAAGCAGGGGACCAAGCCTGGAGGGTCTCCCATGCTCTTCTCAGGAGCAGAACTTGTTCCATAGGCCCATGATTTTCTACCTTGTTTCCACACATGCTGGGTGGGTAACTCACACACGCAGGCAAACAACCATCTCTCAGGTTGGGCTGCCACGGCGATGGGAGTGGCTGGGGGGGGGGTGGGTACGGACACCCATCACTCCTCCTCTCCTTTCCCAGATCCAGCCCCTGCAGAGGTGGTGGTCCCGAGCCTCTGCTGTAGGCTACAGGAAGCAGGTGAAGGATTTTGAGCAGGACGTGACATGGCATGTTTTACTTTGGACAGATCTCACTGGTGGTTGTGTGGAAAGGATGGATTCGCGATGAATAAGACAGAAGCAAAAACCATGAGATTTCTCCAGGGGGAAGGGTAAAATGATGGAAGGAAGGAGAGACAGCCAAGGAGAGACCCCCTCCGAGAAAGAGAGTCAAAATAAGAATGTCCCCAATGGTAGAGAGCGAACCAGAAAAGTGCAATATGCGAAAAGCCCAGGGAAGAGGACAGTGCGTACAATATGGTCTCAATCACCTTGGAATGGAGACAAAAGGTCGTCACATGCCCAATAGATCTCTCTGGAAAAATTTAGGACAGTCCTTTTTGCACCCCTGGTCAGATGAAATGAAGAGTTACCATCCACGTTCCAGCCTCCATGTGCTTTCACCTCCCTTCCCTAGGAAACCTCAATTCTTCCAACCTTCTCTTGAAGGTTGTATTTTCATTCTCTACTCTAATTTCCATTGCCTTCTCAGGAAACCTGCCAACTGTTTCCACATCTTGGTTACGTTGCCAAGCTCAGAGATGAAGAGGATTCTAATAGGGATTTGACAAACGTCGAGTATAATATACAGAAGGTTAACTTTTGGTCCGTACAAGTTAAGCTCCTATTATACATTCTAGTCCCGTATTTACTCTGGAAATGGATGTACTGCATTCAGGATCACCCTTTATTTTATGGTCCCTTTCAAACTTTGTCTGCCCTAAGATGTCAAAAGGTATGCTTTTCTTATTCTTTGTAATAGGAAGAATTCAAATACAATAGAATGTCTCAGAATGAAATCAATTCAGCCTGTGTAAGATGGCTAACATTATACCAGAAAAACATAATGGTCATATTTTGGTACCAGTGTCACTTTAGAAAAAAATCTGCAACAAAAATTTCTAAGACCTCATGAATCACACTTATTAGAAGAAACAATCTTACAAACCCCCCAAGATAATAAGACAATTTGAGTGGTATTTTTTTTTGAGATTTAACCTAAAATTTTTCTAAAAATTTTTTTCTAAAAAAAAAAAATCTGGAAGGCTTTTAGAAAATAGTGAAGACAGGTCTCTGAAAAAAGTACTTAGGAGGAAAAAATACATTTTTTCAAAGAGCCTAAAACTGTGAGAAGAACAAGAGGCTATTTCAGAAAAAAAGTTACTCCTTTTTTTTCATTTTTCATCTCATAAAACATTATTTCATGATGGCTATTTCCTCCTGGTCTTATAGTTCAAGATTGCCCCCCAATTAGCAAGCACCTGACTGGATGTAGTTCTATGTATTTTAACACCTGTATACATTTGTGCGACCACCGCCACAATCAATACAGAACAGTTTCATCACCCCCAAAATTCCCTTGGGCTGTTCCTCTGGAGTCACACCCTCCCCTTCCCTAACCCTCGGCAACCATGGATCTGGTCTCCATCCTATAGTGTAGTCATTTCAGAATGTCACATAAATATAACCATACCATACGCAACCTTTTGAAACGGGCTTCTTTCACTCAGCAGAATGCCTACAAGATTCATCCAAGTTGTCATGTGCAGACGTCCACAATTCATTCCTATTTACTGCGGACAAGTATTCCACTGTGTGGATGAACTACAATTTGTTTCCAGCAGGTATGTCGTGGTATTGCATTGTGGTT